ACTCCGCTCGCCACCGCCTCGCTCGCTCGTCGCGGGGTCCCCGGAGGTGGTGGGAGGTGGCGGGAGACCCGCAGCCGGGCCCCGGGTGGGGCCGGCGCAGGGCCCACTCCCCACAATAGGGATTTTATAGGGCTCTCTATTCTGTCCACTGGTCTATATGTCTGTCTATGCTATTACCGCTCTATTTTATCACAACTTTGTAATAGCTATATAATTTAAAAATCAGGAACTGTGAGGCCTCCAACTTTATTCCTTTTTTTAAAGATAGTTTTGGCTATTCACACTTCCTTGAAATATCATGAGTTTCTATTAATATTATTTTTAACTGATACAGAAATATATTTTTAAATGTTGTTCTTAGATCAATTTTAATCATTCATGTCTTTCAAAACATTTTCCAGTTTAGATTGTCAAATCTATTGATAGACTTATTTATAATATTTTCTAGTTTTCTTTTTAATTGTCTACATGATCTATCATATCCCCTTTTATTCCTGATCATTGTAACTGAAGCCTTCTCTCTTTTCTTCTTAATCATTATCTAAAGTCTTACTGACTTTATTGCTTTCTAATAAGGGTCAATTTAATTTCAGTAATTTTCCCTAATATTTGTTAACTTTCTATCAATTTCTGCTCTCATCTTTATCATTTTCTTATACTTACCTTGGGTTCAATTCAGTGTTTAATTCAGTGTTATGTGTGTCTTTTTATCATCAAGTAGAAATTTAGATCTTTCTTTTCTCCTGAAGTAAACAGTTAAGACATTAAACTTCCCTCTAAGCAAACACTGTTCAAGAGAATTTTTAATGATGGAAAAATTTATTTTCTGCTGTCCAATACAACAGCCACTAGCCACAGCAGCTATTAAGCACTTGAATCTGACTAAGAAACCGAATTTTCAATTTGACTTTTAAAGTATATTTAGACTTCTTACATGATATGATATATGGTCTATCTAGCGGATACACCATTCGTATGCACTAGAAAGAATGTTCAGTGTGCAGTTGTTATGTCTAACAAAAGTATCAGACCATGATGGTTGATACTGCTATTCATACTATATTGATAGTTGTTTTATATCATTTGCTTAAGAATGAATGTAGAAATCCCAAACTATAATTGTAGAAATGTCTACTCCTTCATTTAAATCTTTTAAAGAATATTTATTGAACACACATACCATAGAGTTCAATAATATTTAGTACTATTACAGAGGTGAGAAGAGTTGCAGCCTTTTGTGGCTGCCTTTCAGTTGACATAATTTTTTCAAGATTCATCCATGTCAGGGCATGTTTTAGCACCTCTTTTTTAAAAATTATTTATTTTTAATTTAATTTATTATTATTATTCAATTTTGAAGAATTGAAGAATTCTAGAGAGTGATAGAAAGGAAGAGTGAGAAAGCAAGCCACCAGGTCCGGATTTGAACTGTGGTTGGCCATGTGGGAGTCCTTAGCCACCACACTACCTGCCAGCCCCAGTACCTCTTTTTATTATTATTGCCAAATATTTTTACAGTGTATGGATATACATTTCATTCATCCATTCAGCAACTGACAGAAACTTGGATTGTTTATACTTTTTTACTATTATGAATAATGCTTTTATGAACCTTTATACACACTTTTGTGTGTGTGGAGAAGTTTTCATGACTTTGAGGAATATATCTAAGAAGAGAATTTCTGGATCACATGGTAACTCTATTTAACACTTTGAGTAACTACTAAAATATTCTCCACAATGGTTGCTTCATTTATATTCCCATCAACAATCTATGAGATTTCCAAATGCTCCACAACCTTTCCAACATTTACCTACTTTTTAATTATAGCCAATCTAGTGGATATGTAGTAGAATCTCATTGTAGTTTTGATCTGCTTATCTCTACTATGTAATAATGTTAACACTCTAAAATAAACTCATTACTCATTTGTAAACCTTCTTTAGAGAAATCTCTATTTAAATCACTTGCCTATTTTTTGTTGTAATTATTTGTCTTCTTACTAAGTTGTAAGAATTCTGTATATATACTGTATATTAATATCTTATATGATTAGCAAATATATTTTCCCAGACTTTGGGCTGTTTTCACATTCCTGACTCTTGAAGCACAAATATTTTAGTTATAAAAAAGTCCAATAAACAGGATTTTTTTCCCTTTTATTACTGTGATTTTGGTATTATATCTAACAAATCAATTCTTAGTCCAAGGTGACAAAGATTTGGCCTTATTTTTTTCCTGAAAGCCTGATTTTTGTTTTGCTTTTAATTTGCCAGAGAGCAGATGTCCTCATCAGAGGACATCTCCATGGAGAACAGTAATGCTGCAATCCCCTTCCATTCATATCCCCCTTTTGAGGGGATTTTGAACTCAACATACGAATACACACACTCGCAGTATGTTTCACAAGCCACAGGTTCTGGGAGTTAAACCACATGGTTAGTCCGTGAGATCGAACCACTTCAACTTTCCACACCATAGGCTATCTCACGTCTATGAGTTTTAAAACTTGGCTCTTAGGATCTGTGATCAATTTTGAGTGACTTTTTGTCTATAGTGAGGTAGGGGTCTAAGTTCATCCCTTATTGCATATAGATATGCAGTGTTCAAGCACCATTTATTGAAAAAGCTATTCTTTTTCCCCCCTTCAAGTTATCTTGGCACCCTATCAAAAATAAATTAATAATAAATGTAAAGATTTATTTCTGAACTCACAATTCTATCTAAATGATCTATTTGTCTATCCTTACATTAGTATTACACTGTGTTAATTATTGTAGCTTTATAGATTTTGACATTGGAAAATATATATTCTTCAACTTTGTCCTTTTTTTAAGATTCTTTTGGCTATTTTGAGTCCTTTATATTTCTACACAGAGTTTAAAGTCAGCCTACCAATTTCTGCAAAAAGAATCAGCTACGATTTTAGTAATCATTATGTTGACTCTATAGATCAATTTGAGAGGTGTTGCCATATTAATAACATTATGTCTTCTAATCCATGGGCATGAGATGTATTTTATTAGTTCTTTAGTTTCTTTCAACAATGTTTTATAACTTTCAGTGTACAAGTCTTGCATTTACTTTGTTGAATTTATTCCTATTTTAATATTTTTGATACTGCTATAAAGAGAGTTACATTTTCCTGATTTCACTTTCAGATTGCTCATCACCAGTGTTCAGAAATGTCACTGATTTTTTGTTTACTGACTTTGTATACAAAGGAGCTCCTACAACTCTTCTGAGCAACTTTATCACTTTAGTTGTTTAGTGAATTCCTTAGGATTTTTTAATAATGAGAAAATGTTTGTGAAAATTAATAGTTTTATCTAATTCTTTACAATCTAGATGTCTTTTCTTTCTTTTTCTTGTGAAATTATCCTTGCTAGAACCTCCAACACATTGCTGATGCAAAGCAGAGAGAATAGGCACTCCATCTTGGTCCTGATCACAGCTGCAAAGTGTTCAGTTGTTCACCCGTAAGTATGAGGTTGGCTGTAGAGTTTTGTAGATACCTTTCATCAAGGCTCACATATGTGTCAGGTATCAGAGATGTGGGTAAAAAGGATTTGGGATGCTCTTGTTAAGGTTTTCCTTTATGGACACCCCCACTCGTATCAAACAGTTGCAGTTAGTTAACCCAGTCGTCAGTCTTCTGGCTTCCTATGCCAGAAAGCTATAGTTTTCCCACGGGCTCCTCTACCCAGCACCATACTGACTACAACTGTCCTGAGCACCAAAGAGTTTTCCTCCTCAGCATGGTCACCTCACCAGACTCTTCCTACTTCTGATCACTCTCTAGGGCCTTCGGATAGCTGCTTTTTGAAGTGAACACTGGCTTTCTGGAGGAGGATCAGTCCGGTAGGCTCATAAACATTACCAGCAGTAGAATTCAAATACTTGTAATGTATGGTTTTAGAAAATTCTCAGAAGTGTGATTAATATATATCAGTATCTAATGGAAATTTTTAAAAATTGTTTAGAACATCTCACGAGACTCAAAGCATAGTATAATTTCTTTCACATGTGGGTAAGATAGCTTATGAAAAAGATATACTTCAGTATATGCTCTAGGAACATCCTCTCCCCTAAGCAGGAGATGGGTCCAGGCATAATGTACAATTACAGTCTTCTTTGACAACAAAACAATAAATTAAATGAATACCAAGTTTATGGCCAAAATAAAACCCAGAACTTTACTCAAAAGTATACTCCAAGAGTAGTAATTTACTGAAGCAAAATTCATGTAACATAAACATTTTGAAATGGAAAATTCATTGGCAGTTCTTACATTCAAAATGTTGTACAACTAACACCTCTATCTACTTATACAACATTTCCATCACCCCAAAATAAAACCTTATACCACTTAAGCAATTACTCCCCATTCTTCTTTGCTCCCTCACCCCAGCCCAGTTCCTGCAGTCTGCTTTCTTTTCTATGGACTTGATTTTGGATATTTCATATAGGTGGAATCATATAATTGTTATCCTTTGTCGCTGGCTTATCTCATTAACATAATGTTTTTTAGATAAATATCAAATATTTTTTATAAAATAAAAAGTACACATTTTACATGAAATAAGTATTAAAATTCAGCATAGTAATCAACTGAAAAGATATCAACATGTTCAAAGCAAGAACTTTGCTGTTACCACTTTCTCCTGTCTCACAATTGCTGAGAGGAACTTTGCAGATGAAGGAATGAGACTGAGACAAGACAAGTAACTTGCCCAAGGACACCTTGCAAATCAACAAGTAAGCCCACATACTTAGGCCTTCCAACTCCAGATCTTTTTTTTTTTTTAAGGTTTTTGCCATAGGGCACATGCAGTGACTGGAAGAGAGAGAGAGAGAGAAACTGAAAGTGAAAAATCACCACCACCACCACCACCACCCCCAGGGGATGACCACACTGCAATCCCTTCTCCTCCATTTTACTCTCAGAATGTTGGGCATGCATGCACATGCACCCAGCGTGATTTTCAAGTCAGTGGGTCTGGGACTCAAACCACAGTCGACCCTGTGGGAGTCCAGCACCTTAACCACCATGCAACTTGCTGGCACCCCCAGACCTTTTTCATTTACAAGATCAGCTGCCTCTCATACCATCACCACTTTTGTAAGGGTGGCCAGGTGAAGAAGAGACCCAGGTTGGATAGAGTCAGGAAAGACTCCAAGGAAAAGAAAGAGCTGGAGTCAGAATGTGATAAACCAGCTTCTGCTAGGAAGAGAGGAACAGAAAAGGTATGCCAACCAGGAGACTATCAGTGACCTGGATGCAGAGACGAGTTTGGTGGGGGTTGGGCAAGGAAGAACACAGCAGGATATGAAGAGGAACAGTGAGTATCCTAATCTGTCATTTGAAAATAATTTAGAAGAATCTTTTCTTTCATTACCATCTATAATGGATTATCTTAAACAAAGACCTTTGTTCTTTTTCTTTTTCCTTCCTCAGCAGAATACACAGATAAATAGAATTTCAGCCAAAAGCTACCTGTGCCCCCTGGAGCTTCCTGGTTGGCATGTGCTACCTTTGTCCTTTCTGACTGGATCCTGGACTGGAGCAGGATGTGAAAGGGATGAGGTGTCAATTAGCACCATTAGAGCCAAAATTCCTGAGGAAAAAAACAAATAAGCACCAAAGCTAACTGGATTCATTTATTCAAAAAGACATGCCCTTTAAGATGGATTTTCATAAACCAGAAAATAATAAAATTAAAATAATAAAAATTAAAATAGCCTCAGTTATGAATTCTGCCCCAAATATCATTTTTCCAGAATTTATTTCATTTTTTTTTGAAATGCATGCTCATACTCATCTTTAATTTTATAGGGCATCCCTTCTTTAAGAAGAAAACAGGATTTTGCTCACTACTTTGCTAAAGATAAGGCATTTACTTTAACAATAATTCCTATCAAAAGAAATACTTTTTTTAAAAATCTACACAGATTCTTTATTATAAAAGCAAGAAGAAAACTGACAGAAATGAAGAATAGGCATTTGCAACTTGTGGATACCAGCCACTCCTAAGCAAAAGAATCATAATTTGGTCTTCATGAAAGATTTGGTTTATTAAGATTAAATGACAGGGCCAGCCGGTGGCACGATGGTAACACGCTGCTCAGTGACGCTGGATCCATATGGAAGATTATGGGTTTGGTTACCCAAACGTTCCAGGGACCTGCACATTTGTAATCAGGGCTGAAAGGAAAGGCTGGGGAGGGACTGAGGCATGGGACCCTGCGAGGGTGCTTGTCTTTCTCTTCTCTCTCCGTCTCTATCATGAAAGAAAGACATTTTAAATGAAAAACAAAAGAGTAAATGACAAAGACTTCTTTGAGCAACTCTGTATGTCAGTTAATGAAGTATCAAAGTAGCAAAAACAACTGAATCAGTGAAACTGAAAAGTTAAAATATCTTAGCACTGAAAATCCAGCAAGCTCACATCGTTGAAAGCCAAACACACATAGTCTCATCTTTCCCCTAAAGTTTTTTTTTTTCTTGTCAGATATGGAATAAAACAGAGAAATTCATTAACCTTTAAACTCCCGATAATGGAAAGTTGGAGGAAGACATCTCAGCAGACATTTAACTTGCTATACTAAATTTTTTTTTAAGATCTTCAAAAGAAAAGTTCAGGCTGTTAGTAGCAAGGCATCTTCAAGAACATGAACACAGAGTTCACATCTAAATCCCAAAGCTACTTATGATAAGCACCTGTTTAAGGAACAAAAACAAACAACTTCCATATCATTTTAAACAGTAAAAGGATACACAGTTGGGGCTATCATCTACACCAGCTAGAAAGGAGGTTGTAGAGCCCAGCAGAATCTGTAACGTCATCAAAAACAACACCTAAATAAGAAAAGTATGACTCCCTGTTTTATTTTCCAAACACCAAGCTTTGTTTATTTCCTTTCCCTAAGATAGCTGTATTCATTTGTCACAGAATCAGGGAAATGTAACCGGAACTATATAATCAACAGGGGGAAAAAAAGCTAGAAAATAATGTTGGCCCCTAATGTGAGTTTCTAACCCATAAATATGACACACACACATTAAAAAGAAGAAGAAGAAATGTTTCGAAAAAGATTAAGAGTTGGTGGAATTTAAGGAAAAGCACCACACAGGGAAAACAGGAACGAAGCAGTACCTCGGTATGATAGCGCCACCCACTGGCTTAATGTCCCCATAGCATATAAGACACCTCGTCATAAAATAGAGGATTATTTGAATAGAAAGGAAAATACTGACTATTCTGATTTATTAGACTATCAGGAACTTCTAACAAAACAGAAGCACACATTTTATTTACACAATGAAAGAAAATAGCTGTTTAACTGTTAAAAATGTTCACAGGGTGAGTTTTATCACCTTTGAAATGTAAATCTACAATGTCTAAAGGCTATAAGGACTTAAACTTTATAATTAAAACAATAAATGGGCAAAATGTCATTTCATTTCTGTAGCTGGATATATAAAGAGAATCTTTAATTAGAAGATGCATACTTGCATTTCATTGCAAAGAAAGACGTTACAATACTCATAATATATTTAAAGGTTAATAAAACCTACCATGGGGTCAGCCCCACTTCCACTTTTAACAGGGAAGTAAAAAAATTAAGAAAAGGCCATATTCAAAAATGGACTGAAAAACATAGTTTCTATTTAAAAAAAAAAAAGTACAGAGACCATTCAGACAAACCACAAGGGAAAAAAACTTTTTTTTTTAAATACCACAGCACCTTTGAAGTCCAAAATTTATTTATCTTAATACAACTTCCTTTTTACCTCAGTGACCTCTGTTTTGCTTTTCCAAATCATTCTTATTTATTTTTTTCAATGCTAGAATTCTTAAAATCTTGGCATTTCTCTTCAAGTACAACCTTCCCTTTAAAACTGAGAATAACGCACAAGGGCTTGATGTGAGTTTATAATCCATATGACCCTCTTGAATGTTCATCTCTTTTAAAAACCAGATTTCATAATTCCTCTATAGACATGATCCTGGCCTTTCAAATTAGAATTCATAAATATACCCCAGGCAGTCAGTACAGGCTTCAAGTTTCTTTGGTTTGATGATAATTATCCCATGGCCTACGACAGCCCAAGATTTCACTTGCTCATAGATGGTTGATTGCAGATAAGAATATGATGAGAAAAGTCACATTTCCACAGACATAAATTGCCAACACTGCCTTTTTAAAAGCATGACCCTGGAAGAAAAATAGAGATATAAAAGCAAGTACTGTCATTAAGCTTTTTGTCAATAAACAAGAAAAGAAAGCTTACCTCTGCTTCTGCCGTAGTAAATGACTGAAGGATCTGAATTCTAACATCATCCAATATTTCAACTGTCAAGAAGAGCACAGGTTTATAAGGATAGTGTTATGTAAGTAAACTTTCTAAAACAAAAAGTCCTCATTTTACTGTTCACCAGTTTTCATGATGTAAATTTTCCTATTTCAAGCTGCTAGACACTTAAAGCTCTTACAAATTTGGACAAAGTGGGTAAAAGTGTGGCCATAACACACATTTTTCAAAGGACTTAAAATATGCCCTCTTCTCATCAGTAAACACCACATCAAAGTCCTAATAATCTGAACATCTTGGTTTGGGGTTTTTATATATAAATAATTTCATACACGTATAGTGTACCATATGACATTTTAATATATGTACACATTGTGGAAGGGCAAGTCAAGCTAATTAACATATGACAACAATCCAAGTTTTGAGCACATATGTATTTTAAAACAATAAACCATACTTCAGTGGTTACCAAAAGTCCCATGTATGAAACCCTCTTATGAAACAAAAGTGGCAGGACAGATCTTCACAAGTCAGCTCCCAAAAGTCCCCCAAACCCCTAGATTCACAACATGTACACTAGACAACAAAGAATTTGTGTTTTAAGAAGGCTACCTTCACTTATTTGGGGAGCCAAGAACTACACAGAACATGCTTAGCCCAGAATCCAAACTAGCTTAAACTGCTCTCTATTAATTTCTCCACTCCTAATTGTGGCTATAGGTACCTTGACCCTGCCTGGTACTACAACCAAAACAGAACTTGCACTAGAGACAAAGTAAGTCTTTCCTATCTAGTGGGTCATTAGGAAAGTCATGAATTTTTGCATAGAAAAAATAGGTCATGACTTTCCTGACAACCTAATGGTTTGCCAACTAACTACACATTTATGTACATGGCAACCCAAAGCATGCCCAGCACAGGGAAGTACCTCAGTGACAGCACACAGAGTTTGCCAAGTGGTTAAAAGTTGTCTGTAGCGGGACCAGCAGTTGGCATAATGGCTATGTCGCTGGACTCCCCTGTAGTCGACCGCGGTTCGAGTCCTGCACCTGGTGGCTTAAACTCACGCCAGCTGTGTGTGCATGCGTGCCCAAGATCCCGAGAAGAGAATGGAAGAGAAGGGATGTGGCATGGCCATCACCCCTGAAGGGTGATTTCTCGCTTTCTGTTTCTCTGTCTCTCTCTGTCTTTCTAGTGAGCACATGTGCCCTAGAGCAAAAACCTCTCCAAAAAAAAAGAAAAAGAAAAAATAAAAAGAAATACCTCCTTCTAAATGTTGGGCTGCTCAAAAAAAAAAAAAAGGAAAAAAAAAATGTGTCTGCAGCTTTGTTGACTTTAGGGGTCTCTTCTGCCACCCCAGAATCCCCTCAGCATCAAGCTTTCAAAGTTCCCAGTGTGTATTAGCTCCAAATTAGACCATGCAAAGTAAATGAAGACAGTAAAGAAGATTCTTCCCTAAAACCCAAAATCTTTCTCTCTTATTTTACTTACAAATTCTAATACTAATGAATGTAAAATTGAAGGCAGAAAATTTCACAATTTCTGTCATTGGCTGAGTAATCACAATAGAAGTTTTTAATGAGCTACCATGTAATACTTAACTATTACTATCAAAAATGAATTACAGGGAACCAGCAGTTAGCGTAATGGCTATGTCACTGGACTCCCACGTAGTCGACCACGGTTCACGTCCTGGACCCGGTGGCTTAAAACTCACGCCGGGCGCGTGTGCGTACGTGCCCAAGATCCCGGGAGGAGAATGGAGGAGAAGGGACTGCGGCGTGACCATCCCCCCGGGGGGTGATTTCTCGCTTTCTGTCTCTATGTCTCTCTCTGTCTGTCTGGCGAGCGCACGCGCCCTACAGTGAAAATCTCTCCAAAAAAATAAAAAAAATGAATTACAGGGAACCAGCAGTTGCAGTTAGCGTAATGGCTATGTCACTGGACTCCCATGTAGTCGACCGTGGTTCGCATCCCAGACCCGGTGTCTTAAAACTCATGCCGGGCGTGTGTGCGTGCGTGCCCAAGATACCAAGAGGAGAATGGAGGAGAAGGGATTGCGGCATGACCACCCCCCCTGGGGGGGGGGTGATTTCTCTCTTTCTGTCTCTATGTCTCTCTCTGTCTGGCGAGCGCACGCGCCCTATAGCAAAAAAAAAAATCTCTCCAAAAATAAATAAATAAATAAACAAACAAATAAAAAAGATTAAAAAAAATGAATTACAGGTTGAATACTCCTTCTTTGAAATGCTTGGGAACAGATGTGTTACAGATTTTTTTCAGATTTTAGAATATTTCCATATACATAATGAGATATCTTGGGGATGGGACCCAAGTCTAAAGACAAAATTCATTTATGTTTTGTATATACCTTAGACACATAGCCCAAAGGTGATATAATATACATTTGTGCTGCAGTGTTTTAAACTACGACCTGTCACATGAGGTGAGGTGTAGAATTTTTCATTTGTAATATCATGTTAGCATTCAAAGTTTTGGATTTGGGACCATTTCTAATTTTCACATTAGGAATATTCAATCTGTATATCACCAAGGTGATTCAACCTAAAATGGCTTTTCAAGCATGTTCGTTACCTTTTCGAGAGAGTCGGTAAGCATGTATCTCCAAAATAATTTCAGTCCCAACATGCCAGGCTACAAATCCAATCATGGCATAGGTTTTCCGTGGATAAGGAAGATTCAGTCCTGGTAAATCCATTCCCAGGAACATGGCTGCCACTGAGTATAAAATAAACGTAAATATTATGTATATATAGATAAATACATATACATACATATTTATGTAGTCCCCATAGAGAGATCATTGTATGGGTATATGTGTATTCTATCAAGTATAATTTAGTGTATAAGAATATACTAAAAGAGAGTTTCTGAGATGAATAAAATTAATACTTAAGATCTGGAGATGGAGAGCTTGGGCCCAACAGCCCACCTCAACCCAGCTCAAAAATGACCCCAACTTGAGCTGCACAAATATCTGGCTGTCAGCATAGCTTATTCTGCCGGCTAAGACAAATGCTGAAAAAAAAAAAAATTTTAAAAGGAGTTTAAAGTCATTTTAAAAGCCTTAAACCTGAACCGAAATAATGACTTAAATAGTTACCTCTAGAAATTACTTTCTGGATTTCAATGTTTAAGGCTGATTTCTCCTCAACAACCAATTACTCCAATTACTAATGCATCTAAAAATCATTTAAGCCAAATTACAACTTGCAATATAAACAACCAGCAATTATATATGAATAAGTGGCATCACAATTACTTACCTGCTATTATTCTAGCAGCTGTTCCCATACTCCAGTGAGTCCAGTTAAACATTTGCCTCCTACCAAAATAAAGAACCAGTCACCAATCTTAAAAGTGATGGAACTACAATTAATTCCCAAGAGAAAAAGGATGTAATTTCCCTTACTGCCTGGGAATTAGATATCTGAAATATATTTTAAAGACTTTCAAAGTAAAGACAATTTATCACTGAATTTTACAAAGTGCAAAATGTTTCCACTTGAAAAAGGGTTAGTCTGCCAACTAATGATATCCACAGTAAAAGCATTTATAGATAAAAGCTCGAAATACCTTGGGTCATGTATAGGTGGCCTGAAGGCTGCCAGAAAAGGCTGAAGAACTGCAATAGTCATCACTATGCAACCAAGGTAGGGGTGATAACCTGCATGCTAAACAAAGTTATGTCACTTTCATGGTTTCAATCTCTGTCATTGATTTTTAAAGTATTTTTAAGTTATTTTATTTATTCTAGAAACAAGAGAAAGAGACAGCATCCCTAACAGGGTCTCGACATTTCAATCCACCCCTAGTTTCAGCCAGCCCCAGATCAGGGACACACACATGCCCAGGGGACTCAGGGAGGTCTCTGTATGCAAACTGGTAACCTGCCCACCAGGGTCAGCCCTGCAGAGCATAGCATTTTACGGCTGTACCACTGTCTAGTCCCTGTATCATCAATTTAAATCCTCAAATTAAAAATTATACACAAAAATGATGCAGTGGCGCAGGTGGTGGGTGCCCTGTACAGAGCTGTAGTCATATGAAAAGACACTAGTTCCGATCTTGGGTTGACCAGAGCACTCCAAGTGCACCTGCGGGCGCACATATGATCCTGTCTGGCTGGAAGGCTGGGGGAGGATTCCAGCATGGGAAGACCCTGTCAAGGGTACCTGTCTCTCTCTCCCTGTCAAGAAATAAATAAATAAATTTAAAATCAATGGGGCGAGAACCAGCATTTAGCATAATGGCTATGTCGCTGGACTCCCACGTAGTCGACTGCAGTTCGCGTCCCGGACCCGGTGGCTTAAAACTCACGCCGGGCACGTGTGCGTGCGTGCCCAAGATCCCGAGAGGAGAATGAAGGAGAAGGGATTGTGGCGTGACCATCCCCCCTGGGGGGTGATTTCTCGCTTTCTGTCTCTATGTCTCTCTCTGTTTGTCTGGCGAGCGCACACGCCCTATAGCAAAAATCTCTCCAAAAATAAAATAAAATAAAATAAAATCAATGGGGCTGGCAGGCGGCATAGTGGTTAAGGTGCCAGACACCCACATGGCTGATGACAGTTCAAGTACTGGACCTGGCAGCTTGCTTTCTCACTTCTCCTTCTCCTTCTCTCTTTCTGGTCAAATTCAAAATAAATTAAATAAATAATTCTTTTTAAAATTTTAAGTTAATAATAATACATACAGATGTTTTCTTAAGTGTTTTAAACATTCCATGATGATGATAATATCGATGACAACACACAACGTTCACTGAATGAACACTCTGCACCAAACACATGTTACCCACATTATCTCTAATTCTCGCTACAATGCTTGACAATTGAGTATCAATATCCCAATGTGAGAGATGAAGAAACTAAGGCTCAGATATATGAAGTACCATGCCAAAGTCCACACCGCACATAAATGATTGTGGTGGACTCCATGCATAGAACACTGCCCCTCCCCACCAAGATATTAGTTGACCACTGACACTAGAGCAGCCATCTCCAGCCCAATTAGGCCTAGTTACTGTCCACATGTCAAAAGCAATCACGCCAATGTATTGTGATGATCTGTTTAGACCTGTGTTTCCCGACACTGTGTGTTCTATAATATTCTCTGCATCCCCAGAGCTTAACAAAGCCTTAGTCACTCAATAAAAGTCTGTTGATTAAGTGAATAATCTCTATAGCCACCGTATTAGAAAGCTTATCTCCTCTGTTAATAATGAAGCTCTAACTTGAGAAAAAACATTGACACAGATCTCAACAGTTTCTGCTACATTCCCGCCTTGGTGATGTTGTACACTTGCTCAAAATAGCGAACAGCTGGATTAGACCACTTTGTACAATGGTTTCACTTAAACATGTAGAAGAAGGACTGAGAAGATGCTCTAACCAAAGACGTGTTTAGACTGAGGGATATTATCTTCTGCCATCACTGACTCCCATGCTTAGGTAGGCTATAAAACTGTGTCCTAGAATAAGGACCAGTGATTGCTAAGCCATGACAGTAAGATTTTTTTAATACTTACTTAATTATATTTATTTAATTTGCTGTAGGATGCATGCACTCACCAGAGAGAGAGAGGAGGACAGAGGGAAAGTGAGAAAGCAACCTGGCAGAACTTGAACCACAGTCAGTCATGTGGGAGTACAGCCCCTCAACCACCACACCACCTGCTGGCCCTAATAGGAAGTCTCTATAAATAGAAACTAAAGGCTGGCAAAAGGACAATATAAAAACACTTTCAAGCCATGGATTCAAATATATATAAATAAAATTATAAATAAGACTATGAAAGTATAAAGTCTTCTACCTAACTTAAAAAAAAACAAAAACAATAACAGCAACAAGAACAAAATTATTGTATATGCTTAGAATGTACTGGAAACTATACTAAGTGATCCCAGTTAATTAACTCCTAGTCCTCAGGGACCAGCAGTTGGCGTAATGGCTATGTCGCTGGACTCCCATGTAGTCAACCACGGTTCGAGTCCCAGACCTGGTGGCTTAAACTCATGCCAGGCATGTGTACGTGCGTGCCCAAGATCCCGAGAGGAGAATGGAGGAGAAGGGATTGTGGCGTGGCCATCCTCCCTGGGAGTTGATTTCTCGATTTCTGTCTCTCTGTCTCTCTTTCTGGCAAGCACAAGTGCCCTATAGCCAAATCTCTAAAAAAAAAAAAAAAAAAAGAACTCCCAGTCCTCAAGGAAAACCAATGAGATAAATACTATACAACCTCCTCTTTTTTTTAAGACAGTTGGGGTTTTTCTGCTATAGGGCACGTGCACTCATTGGAGAGACAGACAGAAAGCAAGAAATCACCCTCTGGGGGATGGCCACACCATAATCTCTTTTCTTCTATTCTCCTCTCAGGATGTTCAACATGCACACAGAAGCACCTAGTATGAGTTTTAAGTCACCAGGTCTGGAATTTAAAGTACAGTCGACTACATGGGAGTTCAGCAATGTAACCATTATGCCACCTGCTAGCAACCTCCACTTTACAGACGAGTAAACTGAAGGGTAGGAAAGTTAAGTAAATTGCCAAAGGTGTCCCAACTAGTAAGTAGTGATATCAGGATGTCAATCCAAGTAGTCCAGCTGTAGACTAGTGTCCTTAATCTTTATACTACCCTATTCATAAACTGCAAAACCTTTAAGCTATAGCGTTACAAAATAAGCTTGTCCCAAACACCCGGAAAAAATAAGTTTCCAATGTCTCAATTCATATCAGAAAATCATCATTTCCTTAAAAAAGAGTAAGTCAACTAACTCATAAACTACCTAAAAAGCAGCAGGGCAGCTTTTTAGCAATATCTATGATCAATGATTCATCAAGCTTTTCCCTCCTAGTACCAGCCCAAACTCTGAAATGTTACATTTTGACACCAAATTCTGACATGATATAAAAGTGGAAAAGTCAAACCAAAGCACAGGCTCTAAACATAGGGATGTCACATATTCTCAATAAGCCTTGTTCATTTCATTAACTACCTGTTTACTGAGAACCTAGTAGGTACCAGAATCCGTCCTGAATGGACGGAATGCAGCAGTGAGCATACCAGTAAATTTCCCCACTCTTACAGAGCTTAGATACTAGTGTGGGAAGGCATACAAAGAAAACAATAGTAAATAAGTAAATTACATGAAATGACATGAGGTGAAGATTGTGATGGGGAGAATAAATAGAGAGTAAGGCTCTCTAAGAAGCTTTGTAAAGTCTATAAAGCAGGAGCATGTGTCAGGCTAGGTGGCATGGTGGATAAACTGGCTGGATCCTACATGGTGGACTGTGCAGTTCAAGTCCTAGAATAACTGACTTGAAAAACAAACCAGGTGCATGTGCATGTGTGCCTAGAATCCCATGAGGACAACAGAAGAAGAGATTGCAATGAGACAATCCCCCCCCTTACTTTCTCTCTCTCTCTGCTTTTCTCTTTCTCTCATCTTTCTCTGACAAGCATATATGCTCTATAGGAAAACTAAAAAAAAAAAAAAAAAAAAGAAGAAGAAGAAGAAGGAAGAAGAAAGAAAAGAAAAAAGAAAAGCATGCCTGGCATGATTGCAGACCATCAAGCAATCAAGCAGGCCAGTATGAAATGAGATGCACCATGTGGAGTGTAGGAGCAGATCAGCTCAGGGAATAACTGGGAGCCAAATCATGGAGGTCCTTTTTACTCTAAATAAAACGGAAAAGCATTAAAGAACCCCACTGGGGGTACAAGAATGACATGATGTGATTTGTACTTTTTTTTATCTTTTTTTTTTTTTTTTTTTTGAAGTACACTGCCTAATTTGTTGAAAACGGACTACATGAGCAATGACTGAAGTAGAAAGACCTGTTGGGTGGCTACTGCAATAGTCCAGACAAAAGATACTGGAGGCGTAAATCCACATAGTAGCTTCAGTGATGCAGTGAGAAGTGTTAGGTTACAAACATATTTGAAATAAAGTATCAATAGGGGCCAGATGATGGCACAGCAGTAAATAATGACACTCTGCAAGGCAGATTCACATGAGAAGGTTTCAGGTTTGCATCCTGAGACCTCTGTGAATACACTAGGCACAAGTGTGCCCATGATCTAGAGCTGGATAAAGCCAGGGGTGGACTATGGCATCAAGACCCTGCTGGGAGTGCACTCTATCTCTTTCTCTCTCTTTCTGTTTCTCTCTTACTCATGGAAGAAATAAAGATCTAGGCTGGAGATAAACATTTGAGATTAAGCCTCAAGTTCTTCATTTGTAACACAGGGATTATTATCAATATCTACTTCATGGGAGACTGTGTTAATAATACATGTAGGAACCAGCAGGTGGCATCATGGTTAAGGCTCTGGATCCCACATAGCTGAAACCAAGGTTTGAGTCTTAGACCCATGGTTTGAAAAACACACCAGGCAGGAGACTCCTCCATGACTCCTGAGAACTAGTGATTTCAGGGAACAAAGAGAAATGATTCTCTACTGATACCTCCAGCCCCTAAACTCGAGTGGTAGGGAGCCCCTCTAGCCTTCTCTCTGTTTCTGTCTCTCTCTGCCTCAGTCTCTGTCTTCTCATTTTTTGGTAATTTTTCCTTTTTAAAAATTTTTAAGGTAAAGTATTCTCTTGGCTTTCAGCCCCTCCTTTATCTTGCTAATAATTCCCTTTCCCCCTCCCATCCAGGAGAGGCAAGGGGCAAGCCTTCAGAAGAAGATTCCTCCATGGCTCCTGGAAATATATATATGTCTTCCAAAGACATAAATACATTTGTGTGTGTGAAACTAGAAATGGAAAATTATTGACAATAACGTGCATGATTAAGCCACTATGCAGTATATTCTGTATGGGAAATAACATTTTGTATGCTATGATGATGCTTAGGGAATGAATGTAAATTACTTAATTTTAAAAAGTTTCAGGAAAAAAAAGCTTATGGAAATACATGTAATGGGAAAACTATGTATGAATTTCAAAAAGTTTTTGTACCAAAATAAAAAAAAAAAAAAGAAATACACACCAGGCACATGTGTGTGTACCCAAAATCCTAAGAGGAAAATGGAGAAGAAGGGACTACAGCACAGTCATGCCTCCTGGGGGATTTCTCACATTCTTTCTCTCTCTCTCTCTCTGCCCCCCTCTCTGGCAAGTGTACTTGCCCTATGTCAAAAATGTGAAAAACAGGGACCAGCAGTTGGCATAATGGTTATGTTGCTGGACTCCTATGTAGTCAACCGTGGTTCGAGTCTCAGACCCAGTGGCTTAAACTCACACCGGGCACGTGTGCATGCGTGCCCAAGATCCCAAGAGAAGAATGGAGAAGAAGGGATTGCAGCGTGGCCATCCCCGCAGGGAGTGATTGATTTCTAGCTTTCTGTCTCTCTGTCTCTCTCTTTCTGGCGAGTGCATGCACCCTATAGCAAAAACATCTCCAAAAAAAAAGAAAAAAAGAAAAGGAAAAAAATATGAAAAACAATAATAATAATAATACATGTAAACCACTGAGCACAGTTAGTCACATGGTATGAATGCAACTTACATTAGCTTGTGGTAAGCATAGTACTAGTCAAAGAAACACACTTCAATGGTCTTGCTCCTTAGATACCACTCTCTGAATTTTCACTGTTCTATAGTGAAAAAAATCTCACTGAAGCTATAGTGCATATATGAAGTTTGATGCAACTTAAACATACATTTCATTACCAAGTAATCTCTCTACTGGCATCTTTACCCAACCACATGAAATAGTCATCAAAATGATTCAAAAAAGAAAGAGGTATACACACAGAAATAACATTTTATCCATCATTTAAGGATGAAGCAGCAATCTGCTTTGATAGCAAAGGTGGATTTACATAAAAACATACTTTCTAAGACACACTTACCCAGCTCCAGCCTCCTCTGTATACGAAAGGCATAACAAAAGCAACGCAGGTGAGAGCGGATGTAGTGAACATGAGCATCCGATGCACCTGCAGGGTGAAGTGACAAAGTGAGGAGACAGCTCGCTATGTATAAAAAAGAGGTTGATGTGACGGTGGGGAAAGGTGGGAGGGTAAGTTTCACTGAAGGTATGCATTCGACTGACATCTGGTCACAGTTAGTGATCAGAAGGAAAAAAAGTCTTCATCTAGCACTGAACTTGAAAGAAAACGCTAAGCAGCCATCCTCATCATTCAAAAGTATTTGCCAAGACTTCACCTGCACAGAGCAGCAGGAGTGGGTATTTCACACACAGATGAGAGGTACGTGCCAAGCCCTCCATTTGCTTCCAAAGACATTTATTAAGCTTCCCTACCAAGCACAGTGCTATACTAAATGCAATGAGTAGCAAGGAAAAGAAATTGCTGTCTCCTGAGAAGCTGGGGGTAAAACTGAGTAGGTAAGAGAAAAATATATGAAATGTGTAATTCATTGTACAAATCGAGACAATATGAAGAGTGAAAATAGGCATTGTTATTGATTACACCAGGATAAGTGGGGCAGACGATTTCAGGAAGAGTGGGATATGCAGTGACTTGATACATACACACACACCACGGTTTTAAAGATGTAGAAGATTTTAATTGATAAAGGGAAAAACAGTCTTCCGGTTGGGAATATCTACATAAGCAAATGAGAAAGAAAGGATGTACAAATAAGTGCGAGTGAGAAAGTTCATGCTCTTATAGTAAGAGGCAGAGACAGACAGAAGCAAGGGATGTTGCCATGGAGAAAACAAACAAAACAGATTGGCCCTGCAAGCCAACCATGAGAAATGAGTCTAGATAAGGTAAGCCTTAAGAAAACTACAAATGTATATGAATATGAAGTGTCAAGGATATTCTTTTGAAACACAAAAGTGTTCCAGTAAGCAAGATTATTTTCTACAAGCCAGCATGTACACTCTAACTCATGACATACTGACCTTCCAAGACACATGCGGATATTTACACTCCAGAACTCATGAAAGCTAAGGTTTGTTTGCTTTGTTTTGAAGGGCACTTATTGACTCTTGCTTGCTTGTAAAGAGACTGCTTTCCCATCTGATGGGAAGGTGCAGCCTGAAAAGAACACTTCCGGTTTCTCGTTCCACTCCAAAAGGAAACAGGTGCTCTTGACCCCTGTGCATTCACTGTACTTCACCCAGAGGACAGACTGCTGCTTTGAAAGCAGGGTCCACCCACCATTTCTTTCTCCTGCTCTCTTGCCTCCTTTGACCCATCTTTTCTCAATGCAGTGGGTGAATATTCTTCCAGCATCTCCCCCAACCAGCAGACATGTAAGTGAGGGTCGCTGGAGTCCCAAAGAGACACACATGAATCTGACCCATTCTCCAACCCAGTCTGAGTATTCATAAAGCTATTTTCATCTTCATTGAGCATCTTGTATCTGTTCTAGATTGGCTAGAAAATAAATGGGAAAGAGACTCTCAACCCTACAACAGCTGTTACCACAAACAAACAGAAAAAAGTATTGTTCTCATGCTGCAATTTTCAAATGATAGGGAAATTGCATTAAACATTTTCTCCCACCTACCTGAAACCAAGCTGCTTCACCAAGGAAGAAAGCTTTCGACCAAACAGATCTGAAGAACCGGGCAATCAGTACACCTGTGCTGACAGTAGTCATCCACGCCACAAACATTAGGGCACCTACAGGGGAGAAAAATACAGGGCTTTATATCACTAACTAAGCCTTTTCCCTTATTTTTTTAAAGCCTTTTCTTAAATGGCCAAGCCAAATGCTCAGAAAATATTAACAAGCAGCATAATATACTCGGGCGACCTAAGTCTAACCTCTAAAAAGAACCTATATATCACAGTTTTTAAAACCACCACTACTACTTCTAATAGTTTTTAAACCATCAGGTACTCTGAGTGCTTTGCAAGTATTAATCTAATTGATCTTCACAACAATCCTATGATGTTGTTACAATTATCATTCTGGTTTTGCTGGAGGGGAAACTAAGGCATAGCGAAGGTGAGGAGCTTTCCCAAAGTTACAAAGTTCGAACTGGAACCCAGCCTGGTTTCAGCAACTGTGCTCTCAACTATTATATTAATGCAGCCCATCTTCAGTTATTTCAGAGTTAGCTCACATCTCACTGGAAAAGACAATGAAAATCAAGCACACACATTGTTTGTGAATCCAATTACTGCCAAACTGGAGCTGCTACTTGAGTAGAAACAAATTAACACCATTAAAGTTACTGTCAAGCTTCACTGTGGTGATGTCTACGAAAATGCTACTGTAAGGGAGAACCCAGGAGAATACACCAAATAGGGAGAATCCCTCCAAAATACTAGTATTTTACAATTGTACATTATACACTACATTATTTCCCCGCTTTTAGATCCTGTCTTTTCAACAGGGTATTTTTCAAATGGAATCAACTCTCCTCTACAGAACTAGGGCATATGAGAGTCTTGTGTTTAGGCCACTGGTATTTCAATGGAATCTCATTCCTCATTGAACAATATGAGATTTAAGTGTAGTACTGAGTACTTTGTATACTCAGGTACTTGTATGCCGATCAGTTCAACAGCAGAACTGTGTCTTTGAAACTCAGCTATTATAATTCAACCATCAAAATCCCAGACCACTTTCATAAACATCTATTTTAATAAATAGCAGAAATTAATATATCATAACAGTTAAATTAATTAACCCTATGAGACTCAGCCCCAAATATAGAAACAATTAGAATGCTTTTTATAAATTAGAAGTGTCTCAAAATCTCCTTTGGTAATTTTAAGTGTGGCCAGGATGAAATCTCTGAATAACCGAATTATTTATTTTTAATAAAAATGAACAGACAAGTGACATGGTTTTCAAGGTGCTGGACTCCCACATGAGTGATTGCAGCTCAAGTCTCAGACCCAGAGGCTTAAGAATCACGTTGGGTGCAAGTGCATGTGTGCCAAATCCTGAGACAGTGGGGGAGAAGAGATTGCAGTGTGGCCATCCCCCATGGGAGGGTAATTTCTTATTCTCCTCTCTCTATCTCCAGCAAGCACATGCTCCCTATGGAAAAGAAAAAAGAAAAAAAAAAAAAAAAAAAAACACTACTACCTATAAAGGCCAACATTTAAACATAAAAAGTTTATGAAAATTCACTTAATTATGCCTATCACCTTTCCTAATACAGTCAGCATCGAGTGATTATTTATCATTATTATTAACGAAGATCATTAAATATGGTACATTTATTCCACAAAGTAGTAATAATACTGTACATAAAACTTACCATGAGCCTTCAAAAGAAGCGAAGAGTGAGATCCTCCTACGTTTTTTGGATCACCTGTCACGTCATATTTTTCATATGTAATCAACGGGTGCTGAGTATGCTTATAAATTCTACCTGAAATTTTTAAACATTTTTTTAAAAGATGACAAAGGAGAAACTTTTTCAGAGGAAAAGGAATTAAAATATGAACATGGCATGGAAACAAAATTTTTTAAGGTAATAAAAAATAATATCAACAGATAGGTCACTTATATGTAAAAACAAAATGAAGAAATTTGCAGGGCACAGGACCTTCTTAAAAAAAAAAAAAAAAAAAAAAGAACTAAGTTAAGCCAACCAAGCAATGAGACAAAATGAGGACTAGAGGCCCAGCCTCAGTGCCTCTTGAGTGAGAGGTGAAAGTAGGTGGTAGCATACTGAACTCCAATGCTGGAAGCCACCATGGCCAACCTTGGGTACACATTCCGGGCTGATCCAAAACTGCACTGAGCATGCCCAAAATTCTGACTAACTTGAAAATTGAAAATGAGGAGACTTTTTTTTTTTAGAATTATCTTATTTAATTTTATTTATTTATTTTAATTTGACCAGAGAGGAATAGAGTGAGAGAGAGCAAGAGAGAGAGAGAAAGTGAGAAAGCAAGCCACCAGGTCCAAGACTCAAACCGTGGTCGGCCATGTGGGAGTCCAGAACCCTTAACCACCATGCCACCTACTGGCCCCAAGGAGACCTTTTTAAAGTATTTCTAGGAAGGAAGAAAGGGATGAAAGAAAAGGAAGAAGAGAAAAAAGGAGAGAAAGAAGGAAGAAAAAAAATAAGGAGTAGGAATTGAAAGTTACACTAAAAGAATTGCTGGCATTTAAGAGATGATTTAAACAGCCAAAATAATTACTGTTAATATGGTCACAAATTACTGAAAATGTCAACTATAATTCTTGAAGGAGATTATATTTTTTTTTAAAAATCTATAAGCCACTAACCACCCCTCCATCTAAAATCCTAATAATAAACTAATAGAGATTAGGCCTGGGAAAAGAGGGTGGATAGAGGACAAAGAAAAGCATTTGATGATACAGTATTTGGCAAATGATAACTTCAGGCTGAGTTTGACAAACACACTAGCACACCAAAATCTCAAGTAACAGTGACATAAAAATTTAAGGATGTATATCTATTACTTATAATTACTCCTTATGTATAAAATTAGGTCTGTGACTGTATTGAATTATTCCCTCTGTGTGTATGTTCATTCTAGAAATCTATCCTACAAAAATACCCACTTTTAACAAAAGATGTACATACAAGAATGTTCACAGCTATTTCTTTTATCCTGGCCAATAAAAAGGTAAGCCAACAAAGTGTCCGTCATTAGGAGAATGAGTAAATAAATGATGAAACATACATGTTTTTAGAATACTATGCAATTGGTGTAATGGCTATGTCACTGGACTCCCATGTAGTCGACCGTGGTTCAAGTCCCAGACCCAGTGGCTTAAACTCAAGCCGGGTGTATGTGCGTGTGTGCCTAAGATCCAGAGAGGAGAATGGAGGAGAAGGGAATGTAGTACAGCCATCTCCCCCAGGGGGTGATTTCTCGCTTTCTGTCTCTCTGTCTCTCTCTGTCTTTCTGGAGAGTGCATGTGCTCTATAGCAAAAACCTTAAAAAGTAAAAAAACAAACAAACCCTCCAAAAAAAAAAAAAAAAAAAAAAAAGAATACTATGCAAATGTAAAAAATAAGGAATCTGGGAACCAGCAGTTAGCATAATGGCTATGCCGCTGGACTCCCACGTAGTCGACCGCGGTTCACATCCCGGACCCGGTGGCTTAAAACTCACGTCGGGCACGTGTGCGTGCATGCGCAAGATCCCGAGAGGAGAATGGAGGAGAAGGGATTGTGGCGTGGCCATCCCCCCTGGGGGGTGATTTCTCGCTTTCTGTCTCTCTGTCTGTCTCTGTCTGTCTGGCAAGTGCACACCCCCTATAGCAAAAACCTCTCCACAAAAAAAAAAAAGGGGGGGGGAGAAAAAAAATGCTATATACAGCTTTAAATTAGGAAAATGCTATACACAACTTTACATTGTAAAAAAAAATTTTCAAAATCTAAATGCAATGGGTGAATTTCTGGGAAAATACAGAATTATAAAAATTGAAAAAAAAAAAAAAGAAAATCAGCTGAAAAAGAAGTAACCTTGGAAAGTAATAACAATAGAAGAATTTGTTTTAATTAGTCAAATATTTCTGTCCCACATTCAGACTATTATGTGAGTGAGTGCTAACTTATCATTAAAAAATACTTTCACCTTTAAAAATTCCATTTTATTGGGGACCAGCAGATGGTGAAATGGCTATGTTGCTGGACTCCCATGAAGTCAACCAAGGTTCGAGTCCCAGACCCAGTGACTTAAAACTCACATTGGGCACATATATGTGCATGCCCAAGATCTCAAGAGGATAATGGAGAAGAGATTGTGGCATGGCCATCCCCTCTGAGAGGGGATTTCTTGCTTTCTTTTTCTCTGTCTCTACAACAAGTGCACATGCCCTATAGCAAAAATCTCTCTAAAATAAAAAAGAAAGAAAAAAATTTTAATTCCATTTTAATCAAACTCTTCTGAAGTTTACCCTATGATATAAGCATAATAGTGAAACCAAAACTAGGCATGTGGCCATTCACTCAAATAAAACATACATACACAAAAAATCCCATGACTATAGGTCAAAATCTGAATACAGATGTGAAAAGTTTTTTAAAAAATAAGTGAATCAAATCATTTGTGTGTTAAAAGAATAATTTAAAATAATCAAATAAGGTTTATCCCAGGAAAGTGAGGATCATTCACCACCCAGACAATTAAGAAAGAGATGGTAGGGGCCAGCAGGCGGCATGGGTTAAGGCGCTGGACTCCCACAAGGCCGAACATGGTTTGAGTCCCAGACTTGACTGCTTTCTTCTCGCTTTCTCTCCTCTCTCTCTCACTCTCGCTCTCGCTCTCGCTCTCTCCCTAGTGAGCATGCATGTCCTATGGCAAATTAGAAAATAATAATGATAATTAATAAAATCAAATATTTTAAAAAAAAAGAAAAGGATAGTAAAGTATCTGAATATTTGCCCAAAAGACAATAAATGAAATTCAGCACATATTATGACATGAACTCTTATTAAAGCTAGGAACAGAAGGACATTTCCTCAACACAATAAAGGATATCCACCAAAAAGTATAACAAACAAGACACTTAATATTGACTATTAGAAGCGTTTGTGTCAAAACAGGATGAACACAAGAATGCTGGCCACATTACTAATGTCACTACATCGTCCTGGGAGAACCACACAATGCAACAAAGCAAGAAAGAAAGTGAGGGCTGTGGACTTGCTGCTATTTGCACATTAACCTAAAAAAATCCAAGATAACCAACAGGAAAACCAGGTGGCTAAAATCAAGATACATATTCCAAAATCAATAACTTTGCTATATACCAACAATTTTAGAAAATGCAAGAAAACTATTCCATTCACATTAAGTCCTATAAGAAGAAAACCATGAAATTTCACTGGAAAAGACATCTATGTAAAATCTGATAAATGGAATATTCCAATATATTCCTCAGATAGGAGAACTAGCTATTACAAAGAGTTACTACTTCCCCAAGTTAATGTAAAATTTCAGTACAATTTTAACCACATCTCAACAAGATTTTTAATAGAATTTGACAAATAATTTCTAAAGTTCATTTAAAAGAACAGATATACAATGAATAGGTTAAGAATTCTTGAAAAAGAAACCAGGAGGGGAATCATGGGCTATCAAAATCCACAACCTATTATAAAAGCTATAGTAATTCCAATTAATACAGGAAGAGACAAATGCATCAATGGAAGAACAGATAAACTAGAAGTAATTTTAGTTATTGATGGAATTTTAGTGTATGCTGAAGAGGCTTTGAAAATAGTGGAGGGGAAAATGGAGTTTCAAAAAACAGAGTCAAGACACCCGGTTATTCATTCAGCAAATGCTATTATACCATGGCTTGTTATAACAGAGATCAGAGATAAAGCAGAAAATGAAGAGTTCTATGTAATGAATGCCTATAGAAGAGAGTGCCAAGAGGAAAGAGATAATAATTGTCAGGAACTACAAAAACATCAAAAAGAAAACCATAAAGGTAACTATTGAAAATGACAAGAAAGGCACTGAAGAAGTTTAAAATGCCTGTATTAGTCAAGTGGTAGTGAAGAAAAAGAGAACACATTTCCAACAAACCTGAGAGTCAAGTTAGAAGAAAATTGCTTTGAAACTCTGACTCGCTGTTTAGCCACAGACTAAGCACAAACTTAACCTTCATGAAACCAGAGGCTATTACAATTTTAGCATTCCATTGCAGGGCTCCATTACAATTTTGTAATTATATGAAAACCCTTTACACAAATTGCCAGCTCTGCTCTAAGGAAGGTTGAGTTCATGTTTAGTGCAAACCTTCACAGTATTATATGATCAATAGTGTTCCTAAATTGTTTAAATAACAGGTCGTGTGACAATAGGGTCCAGGACTCAATGCACGGTCAACTACGTGGAAGTCAAGCAACATAACCATTAGGCCAACAATTTCTTTTTTAAATCTCTAATGGAGGAACCGGCAGATGGTGTGGTGGTTAGAGGCTCTGGATTCCCACATGGCCAACCATGGTTTGAGTTCCAGACCTGGTGGCTTGCTTTCTCACCTCTCTCTCTCTCTCTCTCTCTCTTGCTCTTTCTCTCTCTGGTCAAATTAAATCACTATGCATGCTTTCTGACTTAAAAAACAAACACAAGCTAAATAAGATAATTTTTTAAAAATCTCTATTGGAAATAAAAAACTATTTTAGGCTGAACTTAGCATCAGATTCACTTAGAAAGATGTGGGGCAGGCGTGGAATATTATTCAGTCATTAAAAAAAAAATCCCTGGCAATTGGTAGAAAGTGGATAAATATGGAAGATTTGTTGCTGAGTGAAGCAATTCAGGCTATGAAAGAGAGACATTGTATGTCTCCACTTAACATACACCAACTGTTCGCACCCTATGGAAAAGGCTGAAAGATTGGAGGGCATAAAAGCATTGAAAATTGTTATGGACACAAGACAATATGGAAGGAGAGTGGGAGAGGGGAAGAGTGTAGAGAAGGAAATTAGGGAGAAAAATAGAGAAGTAAGACATTTGTGGGACACAAAAATATTTTATTACCTGTTGATGTGTATAGTATTCTCAACTGGACTCATCTGAGATGTACTTAATGTTGGGCAAATTGTCTCTACAAGTTAGACGATGTATAGTGATTGAATGTACAAAAATAATAATATTAATAAATAAAAATTTTAAAAAGAAAGATGTGGTACAGGAAATACACCACAGCAGTGAGTGGTATAAAGCATTCTCCTTCAATGTGAGCTCTTACTCCTCACCCCACCTCTCAGGAAAAAGTTCAGGTCTAAAGAGATGAGATTCATAAAGAGAATGTTTTCCCACAAGAATCAATATTTCTTACAACAACCCCAAAGACGCTGTTTCTAGGGACCAATGAACAATGTGCTACACTCAATTAAGCCCCAAGTTATGGTTCTTAACAAGATATATATAGCTCTTCTGGTGCAAATGCACTTTAACAACCAGAAGCCATTATAATCGTAAGCTGTGTTACCTTATAACACAGTCGACACTCTGCCTAGTTTCCAGGGAAACAAAGCTAGAAGGCTAACCAAAAGTCAAGGTTTTAGGCAAAATGGAAAGGGCTTATGACTCCTTATTCACAAGTGTGTACCTTAAAAGTAAATAATTACAGTAGAATCTCAGAAGGGAGGAACGGAGAAAACAATCTTCAAAAGGCAGGTTTTTATCAGTATACTTACCATCATTAGCTGCACCATCTGCTAGAAATATGTAGTAGCTTGTGTTTAGATCAAATCTATTCTTAACCCCAGGAAGGGTAATGTTTCTTCTGAAAGAGCACTGCATAATACCGTCCGCCAGCCTCCAAGCCATATCCTCAAGAGGACCCTACAAACACACACAATGGGTCTTCTCAGCACTTTCCAAAGATTTACTAAAAATAAGAGATGATCAAAATCCTGAGCTATTCAATTTCCTTTCCCTAAGATCGTATGTGCATGTTTGTCTGCAGTGTCATTGTGTTTCCACTTCCTCTTTGAAAAATACAAGCAACATTTTTTCCCCAGTTTATTTGTCTTTATTCCACTTGGCAAAAATATTATTTTTATGTTGAGCCAGAAGTCCTCAATTCCTCTACCCATGATAGAAGCTTTGGCAGATGGGGGCCAGCAGGTGGCATGGTGGCTAAGGTGCTGGACTCCCACATGTGTGACTGCAGTTCAAGTCTCAGACCTAGTGGTTTGCTTTCACACTTTCCCTCTCTGTCTCTCTCTCTTTGCTGAGGCCTATAGCAACCTTAATAAAAATGATAATAATAATAAAATAATTTTTTTAAAAGAAACTTTGGCAGACATACTAACTCCACCTGGCCACAAGCACACAATCAAAAATACTAAAGAAATTATTAATAATACCTTAGTGACCTAGATACAATATGCAGCTGGGAAGGAGTTCCACGCCAGCTGTGGGAGTCAACCCCACGGGAAAGCTGAGCCCACTATGTCCTCAGTGATAGCTCCCACTCAGTCAGAACGTATTTGCAATGTCATTAAGTGATAGCTATTGCTCCTTCAGAGTTCATTTGCTTGTCAACCACCCTGTGAAAAGACACTTCTCTGCCAGATATAGCCTACCTTTGGCACAGATGCCAACAAAGGGCACTTAAGACAACTAACGGCCCAAGGCACCAGTTTTTACCATATGTGCTCCTACTTCTCTTTAGTCAAGAAATTCTTTCTGTCACACATAAGCATCTTCTTAGAATCCTGTCCGTAAGCTTTTGAAAGGGGGCTGATGTTCTAACCAGCTTAACAACCATAAAACACTTTTTTAAGGATGTAATGAAAAGGATTTATGTGGCACAAGCAAGAATTCATCTTTTCCTACAAGAGACACTTGTCTTGCATGTCCTACAATATAGAAAAGTTTCTGAGAGATCATTATAAGAAAGGAACCCTGCTACAAGGCTGCCAGCTACAGGGGCTGGAAGCTATCCTCAAGCACAGCCCTGCCAGTGACAGCACACAGCAGGAAAGTGGGCCAATCGGGTGGAGGGTCCCAGGATTTTTACACCTACCCTGGGGTCCATCACAGGGGGACTTCGTCCAGTCAAATGGGATGGCTGTATGACCACAGTCTGATCTTCATGAATACACAAGTATGCATCATCATCATCACCCTGAAAAACAATTGCAAATGAGAAAGGCTTAAATGAATTTCAGTATTTTGGGTTTTTTTTTTAAAGTCCCTAACAAAATCAAATGTTATCTGATGCTTTTAAAACATAATTTTACTGACTCGTTCTTAAATGATAGTATGAATTCTAGAGAATTGACTAATTTGTTAAATTAAAATGATTGTTATAATTAAAAAGCACTAAAACCCTAGTCTAAAATATAGATTAAAATAGACATATTACACATTTGTATATCCATTAAGCCCATCACCAATTGAGTATCACTGCTAATGCTTTCATGTATCTTCATCCAAACATACCTGTATTTATATCTATTTCTCCTTTCCATATAGGAAAATACAGATTTTTAAACTTTTTTTAAAATAACTTACCATCAATATTATTATTATAAAGTAAATATCAATAAATAAATATAGAGAATAATAAAAATGGTAAGCTTCATTGTATTGGATTTTTTGGTAACTCTTAAGATGAAAAATACCATAATTAAACATTGCTACATATTGTACACACTCAATACATTTAATAAATATATGACAAGTAAAAGGAAAGCATCTAAGTCCCAACAAGAATGTCTCTGAAGACCAGGAAGATGGTGGCAGCAATACATGAGTTGATCTATCTCCTGGGAGGGTACCCAGCCATCAATACTGAGAGCTGCTTTTTAAATATTGTTGTTGATTATGAAGAACGGGGAACACACAGAAACATGAGGAGGGAAGATGACAAATTCGGTTTTAAACACACTGGTTTGTGTTGTGGAGATATGTTGTTCATCCAGGCATGACTAGCTAGTGGCTAGAAATCATGATATGGCGTTCAAGAGCAGTCAGGACTGTGACTATACTAGAATCTGGGCTTTGGGAGATTTTTGTATAGAACAAGATGCTACAGGTCAGGGGAAGGAGAAGAATGGAAGTTAATAATGTGTGTATTTGATAGACTTCATATTATTTCACAAAATAGCTCAGATGGGGAAGATGTACTTGGCAATACAGTTAAAATTCAGACATTAGCAAGTTACTGCTAACACAAATATAGAAATATCATACTTCTTATCCATTTTAGAGATGATGACTAAATGGGAATCAGCAGTTAGCATAATAGCTATGTTGCTGGACTCCCACGTAGTCGACTGCGGTTCGTGTCCCGGACCCAGTGGCTTAAAACTCACGCCGGGCACATGTGCGTGCGTGCCCAAGATCCCGAGAGGAGAATGGAGGAGAATGGAGGAGAAGGGATTGCGGCGTGACCATCCCCCCTGGGGGGTGATTTCTCGCTTTCTGTCTCTATGTCTCTCTCTGTCTGTCTGGCAAGCGCACGTGCCCTATAGTGAAAAATCTCTCCAAAAAAAAAAAGAGATGATGTCTAAAACAATTACTATCACCAATTTAAAAGCAAAATTGAGGGATTAAGTGGGGAGAGGGGTATAATTCAGGTTATCTAATCAGTATTCACAACATCAGATACTTGCAGTATTTAAATTTACCTTATATATACTCAAAAGAAATATGGATCATAAAAATACCCTAAACATTTAAAAATAGCAACCCAAAATAAAAATAACCACTTTAAAAGCATATTTTGAGGATGATTCATTTCCCCCAATTTAGGCAAAAAGGTACACAGATGATTTTAATCATTAAAGAGGATTGCTCTGTAAATAACTTGCACCTGCATAATTAAGTCTTTCTTATAAACATTTTTGATGAGTACTAGACTAGAAACAGATAAGATTTCTAAGTAAAATAAATATATCCTGAATTGGGACTAAACTGCTTTTATGCTATCCATGCTTACAATTCAGAACAGAACTAAAAATCCTACCTGTAGGCTTCTCATCACCATACTCAACTCGATAATAGTCTCTCTCTCTCACTTGTGCGCTCTCTCTCTCTCTCTCTCTCTCTCTCACCTACAGATTTTATATGACAGGTACAAGGAAAGGTGTTATTATAGTATACTGTGCCATGTAACCTTATGAGTGACTTAAATAATTTTTAAGTGACAAGAGCATATATCTAAATGAATGCTATACCTAAAAGAGGAACCCAGATGAAACTAGACACTTACTCAACAAGACCGCCATTGTTAATCCTATTTGGAGTCATCTTCAGAATTTCCTTCACATCCAGTTTTTGTCTTATCACATTAACCCAACAAGTACCTTCACCATCTTTCATTATTGCTTTATGATCAAATGTTATTTGTCACCTAACCCCATCATTCACTTTATGCACCGAACTTGATTCCTTTTAACTGACACTGAGAATACCCAATAGAATATTCTTCAGAGCTGATAGCAATTACAAAAAGGACATGGAGAAAATGTTTTGAATAATCACAGCATCATATGAATGAATATAAAATCTCACTTAAAAGCAACTCTGAAGGGGAAAGAGCCATAATTTTTTACATGTTGTTTTGTAACACACATGCTATATCCTGCGTCTAAGAGAATGAAGGTATGTTCTTTGATTAATGAGAGAAAATAGTATGTGCATTGTACAGCTATACCGTAAACCACGTAGGTCAAGTGCATGCACTGAAATGCTATCACCCTAAAAAAAGTAATGCTGGCTTCTTGAGATAGTTTGCAACCAATGTGGCCGGGGTGCACTTTCAGGGAAAGCATTAGTTCTGTCACAGCCATCTCAGAGTTCTTTTTCTTTTTCAAAATATGATTCCCTAAAGAAGTGATGTTAAGTGTAAATCTTGACAAGAAGAAAACCCTCAAGAAAAGACTCCTTGCCTTTGCCAATGTGGAAATAAAGCACTTTCTCCTTTTGCAATTGTCCCCCTTATCCACTGCCAATTCTTCTTGAACAGGACGTCCATATGTCCTGGTCACAAGACTCCCATTCCCTGGGAAATCAGGACTACTGTGTTCTCTCTCACCATAGCACAAGGCTGCCACCCATAGAATGAACCCAAGCATCAGCAGCACCCAGGGACAACGAGAGCTGGCTTAACATATCGAGGACAAAGGAGCCTCCTGGTACCCAGTACATTTTGCCTGGACACACAGGTTTAAGTCTCTGTTTGGGAAATGCACTGATGACCACTAAAATAGGGACGCCAAGAACAGGAACACATGCTACAGTTCCAGCCACTTACATAAGCAACATGACATTTTACGTAGAGCCACTTTTTTTCACTGAACCTCTTACTTTATCACAGAGAGACAAGCATAAAATGGGAAACCGGAAGTAAAATTACTGTCTGTTCTTGGAGGTATATAATTGCCCAACCGTTACAATTAAGAAACATTCAAAGCCATTTACTTAGAATCTGTCCTAAGTTACTTTCTCCTCCTCATTCCACCCTTAAGAATGATCACTTGACTCTGGAACAGTTAATCCACTGCTGATTAGAGCTCACTCCAATGATCATCATCATCACTACCACCGATGTAAGTGAGAGGTACAAACCATCCATCGGTCGTGAGAAAACGCAAAGGATAAGTAGCCATTACTGGGTCCGCTCATTTCCACCATCACCGAGTGGCCATCTCTTGTGAAGGACAAGAAGACGCAGGCATGCTCCTGCTCTGGGTCACAGTTCAAAGGACTCCTAATACAGAACTTCTTGTTCCCACAGCCTGAAGCATTGAACTAGAAAAGTAACGGGAAAAAAAAAAATCTTAATTATTAAGCAAGCAGCTCATTGCTGATGACAGAACCACTACCTTCAAGTACAGGTTTTTAATGAGAATACCTTTTCATAATAAGGTTTCAAATAAGGGAACAAAAAAAAATCCCAAATTAGAAAAGATCAGAGCTGTAGTTAGATAGGCTGTGAGCTTTTAAACTTAATTAATTTTAATTAAAATTTGGAAAACATAGCACTAGCTGGACTGTAACTGTATAAGAGTATTAAAGTTCCTTTAGTACACAAAACATTTCACATTAGGTATGTTCTGGAGCAAAATTTCTGGTCAATTTTGAAAAACTTCTTAGGGAATATTTAAATCTACATTATCATTTTCGTGTAAAGGATATGCTCTAGTTTCCAGAGATAGAATTTTTAAAGCAAACAGACCCTTAGCAAATTTTTATAGTTAGATCTTAGACTCTGCTTTTAGAATTCAGATTCAGATTTGATACTAAAATAATACTGGGCCATCGGAAAAGTCATGACACATTTTTCTGTGCAAATATATGTCATGACCTTCCTGACAACTTAATATAACCAAAAATAAACCAGTTAATCCAATATATACCGCCATTCCAAAGAGTAATGATTTAATGGGAGGAGAAACAAGGAGCACTAAACTGAGAGTTAATCCAAATGATTAAGTTTAACTGCACTATTGAGTCTTCTATAATGACTTACTCTAGGGTTGCTTGGTATATCACACAAAAGTCTCAAAAAAAAACAAAAAAAAAAGGGACCAGCAGTTAGTGTAATGGCTATGTCGCTGGACTCCCATGTAGTCAACCGCAGTTCAAGTCTCAGACCCGGTGGCTTACACTCATGCCGGGTGCATGTGTAGGCGTGCCCAAGATCCCGAGAGGAGAATGGAGGAGAAAGGGCTGTGGCATGGCCATCCTCCCGGGGGGGGTGATTTCTTGCTTTCTATCTCTCTGTCTCTCTCTGTCTTTCTGGTGAGTGCACATGCCCTATAGCAAAAATCTCACCAAAAAAAAAAAAAATTAGATCTACAATTTGACAGAGTAAATGGAAATATCTTCTTAGAATGGGCTGTGACAGAACATTTCAGGAGAGGGCTAAACATTCATGTTATGTAACTAGATTTCATGGAAATGGAAAAACCAATCACAGTAGGGTGAAAGAACAGCCCATTAGGAACTAGGAAACTTGGACTTTGGTCTCTGCTCATCCCTTTACTCCCCACATTCGCCAAAGAATTTCTTCCCTCAAGTTCCTTTACCTTCAACTAAACAGCAAGAAAACTGAATGAAATAAACCCTGAGTGAGGTCTCTTCTTGCTCTAAAAATGCTATACCCCTATGACTGTAATGACTCTCTATAATTAGAAATTATAAAGTTGGCACAGAGACACAAGAAGCTCTAAGAAGAGCTGACACCTTTAAGTGAATATAATGGAAAGACAATAAAAGTTCATAGATTCCTACCAGAAGGCTCAGGTCTAAGTGGACTATTTATTCCTCTAAAGCAGTTTGTTTTGTATTTTTAAGGTTTACTCATTTATTTCTTCTGTGAATATGAGAGACAGAAAAAGAAAGAAAGAGAGAGAGAGAGACCTTTTAAGGTTTATTCATTTATTTCTTCTGTGAATATGAGAGGCAGAAAAAGAAAGAAAGAGAGAGACAGCACCCCCATTGGGGTCTTGATGTTGCTGTTCACCCCAACTTTAATCCAGCCCTAGATCATGGGCCAGCATATCCCCAGGGAAGTCTCTAGACTTGAACTGGGAACCCTCCCATGTAGATCCACCTAGCAAAGCATCATGTTTTACTGTTGTGCCTCTGTCTGTCCCCACCCCCAGAGCAGATTAAATAAATAATCATTAAGACTAAACTGAGGGTCAGCACTGAGGTACAGTGGTAATGCACTGCTCAAGAGAAGCCAGAATTCACATGGTGACCATGGTTCTGACTTCAGCCAGGGGAGCCCAAAATACACGAGGCATGTGCACAAGTGCCCAAGATCTGATGGACTGGAGGCCTGAAGGAAGGGAATCACAGTGTATCCAGGCTCTAGAGGGTGTTCATCTCTTCTCTCTCTTTCTCTCTCTCTCACTCTCGCTCTCGCTCTCTCTTTCTAGCATGTGCATGTGCTATCATAATAATAAAAAAAAAACTAGGAGCTATACAAATAATAAATCTAACTGCATGATCAAACAAAGGAGAAATATTCAAAATAATGTTATCAAATATAATGTCTATACATTATAAGATGCAGAAGAGAAGGAAAACAAAGTAAGACATTACATAAGAGGCTTGTTTTACTTACCCTTTTCTATACCAACAAAGAGGTATAAAAGGACAAAAGGAAAGAAAAAGAAAAGGAACTAAGTTTACTGAACATATTTATTAAGTGTAAGGCATAGTTAGAAAGTTTATACTTATTATTATTTTGTTTAATTCTCACAATGATACTAAGAGCTAGCTAGTATTATTTCTCATTCCAGGAAAGAAACTGAAAATGGAAATTTTGAAAATTAAAGAATCTTTCTAAAGATACACAGAAATTAGACAAGTCAGTTTTCAGATTCAAGTTTCTTCTTTCTATTCTAACAACCTACCTTAAGATATTTTTCATTATATCCACTTCTGAATTAAGAAGCATAATTTATTACAATTTCCTTCCGTAAAAACCCTTATCCCTACTGTTTCTTTTATGTAGTAGTGAAAGTCGTGACTCATTTAATGCATCATGACATTTCCAATGACCCAATAACATACATTACACCCTCCAAGATATGTTTTCTTCAATCAGAATTCTTTTGGATCAATTGGCCTAAATAGGATTCTGGCTGTTGAGACTGCAAGAGACTTTTGGAGGTTCAGCACATAGCATTCCCCAGTATGCTTTGCCCTTAATGAAATAAGGTCACTTCAAGACCTCCAAATCTTACCTAAATTTAGCTTAAACTCCCTCTCCACATTTGATATTTGACTGGGAAGAAAGGAGGGAAGAAGAAGGTAAGAAGGAAGGAAGGAAGAGAGGGAGAGAGGGGGAAGGAAGGGAGGAAGGGAGGGAGGGAGAGAGGGATGGAAGAAAGTTCCTAAGATTTATTTTCAAGTGAAAACATATCCACCGCAGGTGCAGACTACATGTGAATGTCATAACCACACCTTGAACACATGGGGTCTCACATTCACTTTATTCTAACCTGTAAGTCATAATGTTGCAGAGTTCATTCAGATTCCTATGGAGAACGCAAAAATTCATCATGCAACCCAATACAGCTACTTTCTTTGTACTTTGCCAAGTACAGAACCACAATTTCCAACCATGAAATTTTTCACACAGAGGAAACTAAGTAAATCACTTTACTCATACATAATGTCTTATTTTTGTCCTCCTCATCTACATTTTATAATATATAAACATTATATCTGATTACATGTTATTTTAGATTATATTTTGTGATGCTATAAAAACGGTACTTACTGGTTTGGTTAAATGGGAGACAGGAGGAAGTAATGTTGACAAAGGTACGATTGTTGTTGTAGGTGTAAAAGGAGGTGCATCCGGCTGTGAAATTACAGGGCCAGGAATCTTCACCCAGTAGATTTTATACTTCTCGACAACCGTGACTCTGAAATGCAGTACCAGCAAGATTAGACTTTGACTGTGGTCCATCACAATCAAATCAAATAAGTTAAGGGGGGAAAAAAGGGGGAGGGGGTGGAGGGAGGAACTAGGAACATACACTAGGAACATATTAGTACCTAAGAGTAGTTTTCTCTTAGGCAAATCTGTAATGACTCTCTTCCAATGCATCACAAGGTGCCGTCCTTCTCTTTTCTTACCTATCTGTTCTTACCTATCTGAGCATAGTCTCAACAGTGGTGAGTGCCAGACCTAAGGAATAAACTGCCCAGATTGCTACTCCCTGACATATGAAGAACATGCTTCTACCCATTTCATAATGCACTGTTCAAATTTTTCCAGGAGCAAAGTAGCAGTAGCTACAGCAAGAAGCTCTACAGAGGCTGCAGAAGCAACCATCATCTTTTATTGGGGTCACATCTCTTTTTCACAGTCCATCTAACACACAGGTAGAAAGCTGTGTCACTGCATACTGGGAACCTGTACACCAATAGAAGCAGAAAATAGAGACATGTCAAAATAGCAATTCTTCCCTTTAAATACACCTATAACCCTACTCAGGAATCCTGATACGTCTTCATAACTGCCCACTTCCCTTACCTGATGGGTTAAGAAAATCCTATTTTAATTGCATGAATTTGATCATTCTGAGAGGCATGCAAGGTCTTATTTCCACAACAACCTAATCTATAAGTTGTAACACTGCAAAAAAATGTCATCCAAATTTCAGGACTGTTCTCATTGTATTCTCATACTAACACAGAAGCAAATCGAAAAACAAGCATTACTCCATATACCTTATGGACTCATTACTCCGTATACTTCATGGACTTATGACTCTTGTTAGTATCAAAGTAGTGTAATATTTCATTCAACAAATGTCTATTAAGTGCTTATTAGATTCCAGGTCTTGTGCTAGGAGCTGGGTATATACTGGTGGGGGAAAAAAAAAAAAAAACATACAAAAAGCAAAATACCCCACATCAGTAAGGTGGTGGGATTGTAACAATTCTCTTCTATATAAGCGAATATCTACAAAAACTGATTGTTTCAATAATGCTAGTTACGGAGTTGTAAAAATCTTCCACTCACAGAAACTGTATGTGATTAGAAGCACTGCTGGGAGCATTCCAGTAGACTTCAATTTCTGTTTTTTTGGATGGATTTGTATGACTCACCGCTGATCCCTGAAATAAAATGAAAAAGAATTACCATTCAGCCCCTCAGAAGCTTAGTGGGACTGAACTTCTATCATTTTATGGAGTAATTTATCATTGCATGACCTTGGCATTCTGGTGAAGACTATTTTTATTATTTTAGAATAAGGACTTAGGTACTCAATAAATACATGTTGATTGGTCAACAACTGCTAGTTACTAGCTCTGTGAATACATTAGAATCAGCAGAAATTTAAGAACTGAAGAGAGTCATGAATATTGGAAGTGTCAATGCTATAGGAAGTCTGCTGCTTACTTCATTTACACTAAAAATTTCCTCCATCCAAATATGTAGCATGATACTGTAGTAATTCCTCTCCCTTGAGCAACCTCAGTTCTCACTTTTATTACCTGGCAAACTCCTAGCATGGAGATCATCTCCTCTCTCTCAGTTTCCTCTGGGCTGTGTATGGCTCCCTCTCTTATGCTTCCCATTCAGCCTGTGTAGGTTTCTAACCTAAGTTATCACACTGTTCTACTTCTGTGTCTGTGCTGAATGATCGACTTTGGCATCATATGCCCTCTGTCCATATATTTTACTTCCATGTTAAGACTATGAGTTTTTTGAAGAATAACAGTAAGTCTTGCTCATCACCATAGTCTTTTTTTTGGAGAGGTTTTTGCTATAGGGGACGTGCACTTGCCAGAAAGACAGAGAGAGACAGAGAGACAGAAAGCGAGAAATCACCCCCCAAGGGGTATGGCCACGCTGCAATCTCTTCTCCTCCATTCTCCTCTCAGGATCCTGGGCACGCATGCATACACGCCCGGCATGAGTTTAAGCCGCTGCGTCTGGGACTTGAACTGCAGTCAATTACATGGGAGTCCAGTGACATAGCATTATGCTAACTGCTGATCCCGTCGTCACCATAGTCTTATACCCAGGACAGTTCCTAGGATAATAACTATTTATTAAACGAATTAATGAATAAATGAGTAACAAAAAATTAGACTTCCATCCCACTCTAGAACTCTGTCTTCAATATTGAAACCCTTCTAAAACAAATATAATCAGTTAACATAATATAAAACATCAAAAGCCATAAACTCCTCAAACTACTGCCCTATTTTTCCAAGGATGCTGATGTGTAAAACATACTGCAAGTAGTAAAATTAGGGGGAAAGTTTGATCATTGTGACTCTACGGAGATACGTGCAAGACATGAGGACCAAGACATGAGGACCATCGTTACTTATCTCGCAACCACCACCCTGCAGTGAAAAGACTCAGAGAAACGGGCAGAAATCAGTTGGAAACTAAATACAAACCTCTACATCTTTGCAGTTCAGAAGCTGTATCTCTTGACTGCCATTCCACGTGAAGGAGCCGACAGGAGGGCCACTCACATCCTCAGCATCACGAGCTTCTAAGAGAAAGCCTTTAAATGGGCGCCCTGACAAAGTAACTGAAAAACAGACAAAAATATAGGTTAAAAGGTTGAGCAACACCCAAATAGAAATGTTTAGAGAAGTGTCTAAAGACACATCACAGTTAAAAAGGGGTAATTTCTCGCTTCCTCTCTCTCTGTCTCTTTCTCTTTGGTGAGCACACATGCCCTATAGCAAAAATCTCAATCTAAAAAAAATAGTAATTAAGAAAAAATAATAAATCAGGTGTGTATACACAAAACTATTCCTAAAGAGAAAACAGTAGAAATTATCCTACAAAAAAACTCTAAAATGTGTTTCATAAGATATTCATTCCATGAGATATTAATAGTAATTCCATGGAGAGGAGAAGAGGGAAGAAGGTGATGGTCAGGATGCACTCCACAATGCAAAATTGTTTAGAAAGCACTAGATAAAAGTAAATACTTGTTTCTCTATTGCAAAACCCTTAGCGGCTTTAATAGCCTACTGTGTGGTATGAAACTCTAAGAGTCATATTAGATCATTCATCCCAAATTAATTTTTCCAAGCACCCTTTTTGTTGAGAATAACTATTAATATTTCACATTTTTAGAATTTCAGAAAATTACAAAATGCTATTAGAGATACATCTTTTTTTTTTTTTTTTGAGAGGTTTTCGCTATAGGGCACGTGCGCTCCCCAGACAGACAGAGAGAGACAGAGAGACAGAAAGCGAGAAATCACCCCACAGGGGGGATGGTCACGCCGCAATCCCTTCTCCTCCATTCTCCTCTCGGGATCTTGGGCACGCACACACACGCGCCCGGCGTGAGTTTTAAGCCACTGGGCCTGGGACACGAACCGCAGTCGACTACGTGGGAGTCCAGTGACATAGCCATTACGCTAACTGCTGGTTCTCCTTAGAGATACATCTTTAAAAGTCAACCTACATCTTGCCACAAGAATCAGGGAAAGAAAAGCAGATACACTATATCAAGAAGGGCAAGAATTCACTATATTTTAAATAAGATAAGATAAACTTTATTTTCCTCTCTATTGAGGCTATAATACTACATTAAGAAAGTTATATTAAATATGATAGGGCTTTATAAGCCTGTTCCGAATGGGGATAAGATACACTACTTTTCATAGCAAATATTTATGCCAGTATTTCTTCTCCTGAATTTTCAGTTATTGGGATTTTCAACCAGCAAATACACATGCCAAGTGTGTTCTTTAAGCCACCAGGATCAAGATTTGAACCATGCAGTCAGCCATGTGGAATTCAGTCACATTAACCATCACATCACCAGCTGGCCCACCACTGATCTTGTTCTTTCTCTCATACTTGTACTGTTAATAAATCCATGACTCAGGGGGAAAAAAAATGGGAAATAGGGCCAGCAGGTGGTGTAGTGGTGAAGGCACTGGATCCCACATGGCATAATGCCATAATTCAAGTCCCAAACATGATGGCTTGAAAAACACCATGGGTGTACGTGTGTGCATGCCCCAAATCCCTAGAGTATGGAGAAGAAAGGACTGCAGTATGGCCATCACCCCGAGGGGGTGATTTCTCACCTTCCCTCTTCTCTTTCTCCCTCCAGCAATCAAACATGCCTTATGTAAAATAAAAAGGGAAATGCATGATGACGGTATCTTATATCAGGTAAGTATGTGTAAAGGAAATAGTCTGAATCTAATAAAGGCTCAAGGAACAGTAAAAGAGCAAAACTCAAAATGTAAAGCCAATCCCAGCACAGTACCTTTGATTTGATCTCCGGGTCTGAACGTCATCCGACTCACTGCAAGGCGGTGTACAGGATAAGACTGTGGGCTGTGACCATGTTCAGGAACCATTCCATGGCACGACTGTGCTACTTTTCCATTGGGATAATTAGCCACAGGACTAGTGTACAGCAGAAGTATAGAGATACCCAGAGTGAATCCAGGAACTGCCATCTCAAAAAGAAGATTAAAAGCACATTATTTTGCATGTAATTAAAGTTCAACCTCTCCACAAAAAATAAAATAAAATAAAAATTGTTGGACCAGCAGCTAGCATAATGGCTATGTCACTGGACTCCCATGTAGCTGAGTGCGGTTGAGTCCCGGACCTGGTGGCTTAAACTCACGCTGGGCACGTATGCCTGCGTGCCCAAAATCCGGAGATGAGAATGGAGGAGAAGGGACTGCTGCGTGGCCATCCCCCAGGGGATGATTTCTCACTTTCTGTCTCTCTCTGTCTTTCTGGCGAGCACACATACCCTGTAGCAAATAAAAAACAAAAACAAAAACAAAAAAAAAAACACCTCTCAAAAAAAAAAAACAAAAACAATTGCAGGGCCAGCAGGGTTAAGGTTTAAGGTACTGGATTCCCACATGGCCAACTGTACTTCTAGTCCCAGACCTGGCAGCTTGCTTTCTCACTTTGCCCCTTTCTCCTTCTCTCTCTCTTTGTCTCTCTCTCTCCCTGATAAAAAATTAAAATAATAATAATTGATAAAATTAAATAATTAATTCATTAAATAAAAAGAGATAAGCATTGCAAGAGGCACTATTTCCATGACTTATAGCCCAGTTACTTCTGAGTTAGTCAGACAAAACTGTGTTATCTATTATAACAAAGTAAAATTCAGATGAAAAAGAATGCAATTCTAAAGATTTTTTAAATGTAAGCAAATCACCAGAAAAAGGAGTATGGGTTAACTAAAGATTTTTACATTGAATTTGTCACTTCATGTCTTTTTACTGTGCGATTCCACAAATGTGAGAATAAGAAAAAATGGAGGAGACAGATCTTTTAAAATCATGTCATGATTAAGCTAGCAAATAACTACTGAAGTCTAGCTATATTGCTTCTAAGTTCTAGCTCTTATTATTAGTCACCTATTTTTTTTACTAAGACATCAAAGGAGTTCAAAAGGTACAAAGCGCACAAGAAACTGGGAACTCAGTCCAATAACACCCACTCTGTATTACCCAAGACAGGAGCATATGCATGCATTGACAGTCTTAATTGATATGTAGGTATCACGTAACAAGGCTTTCTTAATTATGAAGAATGAACTGCAAAAATAAAAGTAAAGTCTTAACCAAAATAGTTTGCTGTAAAATATCTAAATAATTCGGAAAAGTGTTTCATGTTTTGCAATATGCAGCAGGTTTATTAATTTTTTTACCACAACTAAAGTAAGAAATAGTTTTACATCATGAACCAAAAAACATTTAAGAGACATTATTAACTTTCCCACATGATATAAATTTATTTATGTTCTAGTCCTTCCTCTTTTTTAATGTTGGTTACATCCTACTGAATTATTTCATAACCTACCAATGGATCTTAACCTGCAGTTTGAAACACATGACTTTATGACAGGCATAAAGCATTAAGTTTCAGCCTTGAATCAAGGCTTGAATCATAGGGAAAAAAGGAAATGTTATGGGAACCAGCAGTTAGCGTAATGGCTGTGTCGCTGGACTCCCACGTAGTCGACCGCGGTTCGCGTCTCGGACCCGGTGGCTTAAATCTCACGCCGGGCGCGTGTGCGTGCGTGCCCAAGATCCCGAGAGGAGAATGGAGGAGAAGGGATTGCGGCGTGACCATCCCCCCTGGGGGGTGATTTCTCGCTTTCTGTCTCTATGTCTCTGTCTGTCTGGCGAGCGCACGCGCCCTATAGCGAAAGCCTCTCAAAAAAAAAAAAAAAAAAAAAAAAAAAAGGAAATGTTATTAGAACTAAAGAAAGAACAAATGGGCTAAGCAACAGGGAATATTTCTGGAGATAAGATTTATCCAACAGAAAATGTCTTATTCTCTCTTCAAACCATTATGACCCTAAGCAAAAACAACAAATAAGAATTATAAATTAGCATCCTCATGGTGATCTTGTGTATGAGAAAGTTTTTTTAAAAGAACTATTTTATTTAACCGTATCTATTTAGTTTAATTTGACCAGCGAGGGACAGAGCAAGAGAGCGAGAGGGAGAAAGTGAGAAAGAAAGCAAGTCGCCAGGTCTGGGACTGGAACCACAGTTGGCCATGTGGGAGTCCAGCACCCTTAACCACCATGCCACCTGCTGGCCCCAGAAAGTTTTTTTTTAATTAACCATCACATAAAAGCACTGCAATCTCTAACATACTTGAAAGTTCCTTTCAAAACATCCATCAACTAACTATATTCTGTAAGTAATAGTCAAGGTAAATAGCTATTTCTTTTTTTTAAGAATTATTCATTTAATTTTTATTATTGTTTTTTAAATTTGCTATAGGGTTCATGCACTCACCAGAGAGTGACAGAGAAAAAGAGAAGGAAAGTGAGGAATCAAGCCATCAGGTCTGAGATGCAAACCCAGTCAGCCATGTGAGAATCTAGCACCCTAACCACATGCTGTGGGCCCTATAAATAGCTATTTCTTACTAAATACTGTTTTGATTTTAGTTTATTCCTAAAATTTCAATGGTAATATTTTATTTTATTGTGGCACAAGTACAAAGCATTTCAATTATTTATGATTTAAACATATTTTTGGCCTGAAAACAAAAGACCATTTATAATATTGCTTCTGTTAGAAAATGGAATTGAAATATCATGCTGAATTAGAAACTAACTGGTAACAAAGCACCACTGTCAACTCAGCATTTCACCTGGGAGCTGAGACGAGCCTGATGGGTTTTGCACTGTGACCAAAAATCTAGTGGGACTGAGGATAGAGGTGGAAATAGGTGTCACCTGTTGAGTGGCAGAATTATGTGGAAATAGTCTAAGAAAAATAGAACCACAAAAAAATTAGAAGATCAAAAAGGTAATTAAAAAGTTAAATTGAAGCCCAAGATACACATGGAAAACAATAAAAAGTGTAAAACAAGAAAGGAAAAGATTACAGTTTTACTGTAGAAGGAAGGAAAGGGGACATAAGGTAGAGAACAAGGAAAGGAAACAGACCTTTGGTGGGAACCTGGCAGTTAAGATATTTTATCTGGGGACCAGTAGGTGGCATAATGGTTACATCGCTGGACTCCCACACACTCAACCACAGTTCAAGTCTTGGATCCAGCAGCTTAAATATCACGCGGGGCGCATGTGCGTGCATGCCCAAAATCCCAAGAAGAGAAAGGAAAAGAAGGGATTGCAGCGTGGCTATGCCCCTAGGGGGTGTTTTTTCGCTTTTTGTCTCTCTATCTCTCTGGCAAGTGCACACGCCCTACAGCAAAAAAAAAAAAAAACCTCTCAACCTCTCTTAAAAACAAACCAAAAAAAAAGATACTACACGTGGGGCGCATGTGCGTGCATGCCCAAAATCCCAAGAAGAGAAAGGAAAAGAAGGGATTGCAGCGTGGCTATGCCCCTAGGGGGTGTTTTTTCGCTTTTTGTCTCTCTATCTCTCTGGCAAGTGCACACGCCCTACAGCAAAAAAAAAAAAAAACCTCTCAACCTCTCTTAAAAACAAACCAAAAAAAAAGATACTATATCAGATACTATCCTTAAAAATAAGCCAATATTGGGCCAGCAGGTGACATGGTAGTTGGGCACTAGACTCCCACATGGCAGACTATGGTTCAAATCAGGGACCCAGTGGCTCAAAAATTGCAGAGTATGTGTGCGTGCATGCCCCAAATGCCAAGAGAAGGAATTGCGGTGTGGCCATCCCCCTAGGGGAGTGATTTCTCGTTTTCCCTCTCACTTCTCACTGTCTCTGTTTTTCTCTGGCTAGTGCACATGCCCTAGGGCAAAAACATTTTTTTTTTAAAAAAGCAGGTATTATCGTCATACAGGTTGAATATCCCATATCTGTAAATCTGTAATGCTTGGGGCCAGAAATATTTCAGATTTCGGGGCTTTTTAGATTTTAAAATATTTGCTATATCTAATATAATATCTTGGGGAAAGGACCAATGTCTGAACACTAAGTTTATTTTTCATATACACCTTATACACATAGCCCGAAGGTAAATTTATCCAATACTTTTGCATTGGTTTTGACAGTGACCCATCACATGAGGTCAGGTGTGGAATTTTCCACTTGTGGTACCCTGTTGGCACTCAAAAAAGTTTGGACCTTAGAACATTTTGGACTTTGAAGTTTCAGATAACGGATGTTAACGCTGCATTAGAGATGTGGAGACCAAGGCTAAGGAATATATTCTAATCTTCTATAATTTTAGAATTGTAAACTAAAATCTAACAGCACATTCATGTTCTTCTGACTCTCTCCATCATTGTCCCGGATTTGGAGAGACAGAATATGGAAAGTAAACTGTATGGATCCAAATTTCACAATGAACAGTAGGACTGGGGAAATAGTGTGACAAAGGCTGAAATCTAAATTATCCTACCTAATTAACAATGTCAAGTATACTGTTAGAGTCTGAGTAGCAGAACTAAAACTCCAGAAAGAATGGGTATAAAAATTACTAGTTAATGTCTAAAAATAATGTTATCAGCAAATGGTAATTGCCATTATTTATCATGACTATTAATTTTTTTGAGAGGTTTTTGCTATCGGGCGTGTGCACTCACCAGACAGAGAGAGACAGAGAGATAGAAAGCGAGAAATCACCCCCCAGGGGGGATGGCCACGCCGCAATCCCTTCTCCTCCGTTCTCCTCTTGGGATCTTGGGCACGCACGCACACCTGCCTGGCGTGAGTTTAAGCCACCAGGTCCGGGACGCGAACCGCGGTCAACTACGTGGGAGTTCAGCGACATAGCCATTACACTAACTGCTGCTCCCTATGACTATTAATTTTCTATATCACCAATATATGTTCATTTCTTCTGAACATTACTGTGGTTACACAACAGAGACTATCTCGTATTTCTTGCATCTGTATTTTATTTGTTCTGATCTTCTAAACTATTTCAGAAAATTTGCTCACCTTCTTTCCAATAATTTAACTTGACTTTCATAGACAATTTCCACATCAAGACTTCAATTGATTTTGATAGTTGAATCTCAAATTAC